AAAATTAAAATTCTCAATTTTTTTTCAAATCAACACCACTTTTTTTTCACGAAAATCAATTTTACAATGTATCCTTCATATCCGGGATCGATTACATCTCGTGGCAGGGGCATATTAAGCCTACCAGATGGAGCGAAAGTTACCTATACGAAAAGCACATGGAAATTTGAAAATTAAAATACTCAATTTTTCTTCAAATCAACACCACTTTTTTTTTACGAAAATCAATTTTACAATGTATCCTTCATATCCGGGATCGATTACATCTCGTGGCCGGGGCATATTAAGCCTACCAGAGGGAGCGAAAGTTACCTATACGAAACGAACATGGAAATTTTAAAATTAAGATATTCAATTTTTCTTCAAATCAACACCACCTTTTTTTCACTAAAATCAATTTTACAATGTATCCTTCATATCCGGGATCGATTACATCTCGTGGCCGGGGCATATTAAGCCTACCAGAGGGAGCGAAAGTTACCTATACGAAACGAACATGGAAATTTGAAAATTAAAATTCTCAATTTTTTTTCAAATGAACACCACTTTTTTTTCACGAAAATCAATTCTACAATGCATCCTTCATATCAGGGATCGATTACATCTCGTGGCCGGGGCATATTAAGCCTACCAGAGGGAGCGAAAGTTACCTATACGAAACGCACATGGAAATTTGAAAATTGAAATACTCAATTTTTTTTCAAATCAACACCACTTTTTTTTCACGAAAATCAATTTTACAATGTATCCTTCATATCCGGGATCGATTACATCTCGTGGCCGGGGCATATTAAGCCTACCAGATGGAGCTAAAGTTACCTATACGAAAAGCACATGGAAATTTGAAAATTAAAAAACGCAATTTTTCTTCAAATCAACACCACTTTTTTTTCATGAAAATCAATTTTACAATGTATCCTTCATATCCGGGATCGATTACATCTCGTGGCCGGGGCATATTAAGCCTACCAGAGGGACCGAAACTTACCTATACGAAACGAACATGGAAATTTGAAAATTAAAATTCTCATTTTTTTTTCAAATCAACACCACTTTTTTTTCACGAAAATCAATTCTACAATGCATCCTTCATATCCGGGATCGATTACATCTCGTGGCCTCGGCATATTAAGCCTACCAGAGGGAGCGAAAGTTACCTATACGAAACGCACATGGAAATTTGAAAATTAAAATACTCAATTTTTTTTCAAATCAACACCACTTTTTTTTCACGAAAATCAATTTTACAATGTATCCTTCATATCCAGGATCGATTACATCTCGTGGCCGGGGCATATTAAGCCTACCAGATGGAGCGAAAGTTACCTATACGAAAAGCACATGGAAATTTGAAAATTAAAATAATCAATTTTTCTTCAAATCAACACCACTTTTTTTTCACGAAAATCAATTCTACAATGCATCCTTCATATCCGGGATCGATTACATCTCGTGGCCGGGGCATATTAAGCCTACCAGAGGGAGCGAAAGTTACCTATATGAAACGCACATGGAAATTTGAAAATTAAAATACTCAATTTTTCTTCAAATCAACACCACTTTTTTTTCACGGAAATCAATTTTACAACGTATCCTTCATATCCGGGGTCGATTACATCTCGTGGCCTACCAGAGGGAGCGAAAGTTACCTATACGAAACGAACATGGAAATTTGAAAATTAAAATTCTCAATTTTTCTTCTAATCAACACCACTTTTTTTTCACGAAAATCAACACAATCTACTTAGCTAATAAGTTAGCGCTATTCGTTGGCATTTATGTACACTGTCAAACATTTCAATATCAAGCTAAAAGTGTTGATTTGGTCAAAAGCAAAACAGTGAAAAAACATAGCCCGGCCCTGCATTTTTTAACCGTCTGTCCACCTGTACGTAACTTCTATTTTAACGAAATCGGTTTAATAGTGCCTGGGATATGCGATCTTAAATGTTTGGCGTGTTTAAATAAATCACCCTGTATATCCCACAAACTTCAAGAAAAACTTTTTCATTTTAAGATAAGGGTTTCGGTCCATACTACCTACCGTTTCACCATGCCTCCCAGTATTAGAACAGATCGAGGGGCTCCCTTCCCCACTTGTCTATACTTGTTATTGATAGAGATTTGAATAATATTATAGCGGGGAGACAGTTATTACAGAGAATCTTTGGAAAATATAAAGCTCTGGCAACGGCGCGCCTCTTCCTTTGAGCTGTACGGCATTCTCCGCCAGCCACGCGTAGCATTCTTCGGCTAAAATGAATCATCTTACAGTGTTGCCGGTTAGCCAGTAACTACTGACATTTGCCTGGGAATGTGCAAGTATTATTACAAGGAAAGCGTACTTGCAAGGAATTTTCCAGTAGTACCGATACCCTTGTGCAATTTTCTGGTTTTTCTACATAGTATCATGCGGTGCGGTCGTCTCGTCAGGTGATTTTCGAATTCAATACTGTTAAACTGATTTACGTTGCTTAAGCTGCTAAACATAACATATTTGAATAAATGCAAATTTATGATTAAAAAAACAAAAAAGGTACAAAACATGTATTTTGATAATTAATTAGCACTTTTCATTGCCTTATTTTGTACATATTCAATCATTTCAATATTCAGCTTAAGAGGTGTTGATTTCGATACAAAACAAAAAAGTGAGAAAAACCGAGTTCAGTCCGTCTACTTTTACATTACTTTTAGGTAAGCATGCAATCCTGCAAAATTTCAACGGAACTACGCCTAAGATATGCGATATTCAATATAATAATATTGGTGTGCTAAGCTATCGGTAAAGACTGAGTTAAGAATTTGACTCGGTAGAAGAAGCCAGTCAAGGTTTTGTTTGTCTACTGTCTGAATAGAGATTCACATGTTCTGATGTGTGCTATAAATTATACTGGCAAAAAGAGGGACGCTCTACATAAAGACAGGTCATTACTCATTGCCGACGGTCTGTTTAATAACTGGTCAGATCCCAAACAGAGATTGACAGATGAATTTTTCTGTGGTTGGTCAAATATTTGGTATTCAATAGACAAGCCAAAAGCGAAGGTTGGGCGAACAATAAATTATAATTCATCAGTTCATTGTTATAATAAGGTACAAAAATCTGCAATCGATGTTGCACATACCTCTTTAATCTTCTGGCCTCCCAAAATACTGAACTGCAACGTCGCATTAGCGCCTAAGGTGGTTAAGCAAGTAGTGGCGAAATGATATGGACTATAGAAGAGTAGCGTCACTCCGTCGTTGAAACAGTTCTTGGCGTTAAACTGTGATGTCTGTGATATAGCAGCTAGTCAGGAGGAAGGTAAATATCCAGGAATGAAGGTCACCTGAAGGTAGTTGACCGCAAAACACCGGATTGTTTTAGGTGTTGCGAAACTAGCAGGAAGTGGGGTGCTAATACTTCGATTCTCCGCTAATGATGTAAAGGCGACTATTGTTATTCTAACATATTTGGAATTTGAGACATCGTCGCTTAAGTTGTAACACCACTAAACGCAAAGAATAACTTATGTATTTGCTTAAAAAAGCCACCGTGAATGCCGGAATGTCATCAGTAGGCACTACTAGCTTACCAGGTTTCATTTGCGACTAGACAAACATTAGGAGGATTATAAGATCATTCGATAGTGACTCCAAAGGCACACCGTTCATTAATGCTGTCCTAAAAAGTTGTTAGTTTAAAGTTACATCGTGCTGGAACTCTTTATTGAACAACTAAATTTTTGTGATTCATGACTGGGTAGTACCAAAAAGAAGAAAATACGATACAAATTTGTTATTTAGTTTTGCATTCTACGTCAATGATTATTGCCAAACATTTCCAAAGTAGATCGTTCAAGTATATTGCGAGAAAATAGATGTGATGTTCCATTTCTTTATTTAATTTATACTCTTCAGTCTACATTATTCATGTTCCCTGAAAAATAAATACGAACATACAAAAAACAAAGTGATTGTTTTCTTCTACTCTGAAAAAGCTTTTAGAATGTAAGCACACAGTTTGGAAAATCTGCTTTCTTTTCTGGTTACTAAGTTTAGCGCTCTTACATTCATTTTCAAACTTGTGACCGAACAATAATCCAACAATAATCCATTCCAACCTCTGTTAGAATCAGTATAGTAGTTACTGATATTGCACAATGTCAAGGAAACCAGAACGACAGGTGGGTTATCGCCAATGGGTGGAACGCTAAATCACTCTATTTTTCAAGCCTATTTTCCAGAAAATGCTATTTATCATATATCGTCTAGACAGAAAAAATAATAATATGTATTACCCTGTATAAACTCAATTACTCTATGACATGCCAAACTAGGCATTACTCTGTTGAAATCAATAAAATTAAAAGTAGGGAACCCATTCAGGTGAACCATCCCCCTGTAACCTTTCTTCCCTTTATTGAATATCTTGGTCGCCTCCAGGCAGTAAATCATAAACAAAAAAAACCTACTGTATACCGGCATGTGTGTGGGTGTATCTATCCAGTTGAAGGGTGGATGTAAAGCTGGACATACACGCTAAAAATATGGATATCCAGATTCATGATTCCGCCACAATATGATCTGTATGAATATTTTGGTGAACAAATCATAATCAACTGTCTCCACCCACACTCCGCCGATACACGACGCGAATTAGTACCTAAAATCTCCCAGCGTTTGAGAAGCTTCATTCCATCCAGGGCCTTTGATTTCTTACCTTTCGTCTTTCACTCATACTCAACTGGTCTATCAAATGCTCAAGTTGATGATTCCATTATTACCACTGACGTAGCTATAGCTCTGATAAGGGGGGGGTCCCGAAAGTGAAAAAAAACAGAGCTCTAACGCCAATTGGATCTATTACTTACAGATTAAACATTTCGATTATAACACGCAAGTATACTCGCGGGTAATCTATAATATATAACTCAGGTTACTTAGGTAGGTGCCTTTAAATAAAAAGTTTAATGTATGTATTGCAATATTTATTCAAAAGTAACAAAGTTGAAACTTTAAAATAATAAATTTAGTCTTTTACGTTTTATTGCTAACTGATTGATAATTTCTTCGGAATCTAGTTGCACCGCCAGATCTCGGTGTACGCTCATTAAAGCCAGACCAGTAAGTCTTTCATCGCCCATTTTATTTCTTAGGTAAGTTTTTAACCTCTTTAAGGTAGAGAAAGATCTTTCAGGGGTTGCAGTGGACACTGGGAGTGTGGCTAAGATAATTAGAAGCTTTTTTATTGAAGGGAAGAACTGATCATCGCAGTTATCGATAGCGTCAAGCACAGTTGCAGGTTTTTGTGCTACAGATTTCCAGTGATTGTGCCATATCTCATATTCACTCAGAAATATTGTGCCTTCATTTTCTCCACCAAGAAATGTTTGTGCAATTTTTTCAAGATTTTCTTTTATCCTGGAGTCATTACTAGTTTTTTCAGGTAACAGCATTTGAATTCCTTCGATCGTCGATTCATGTGGTTTAAAACGAGCGTCGAGTTCTGCAATAACATGATCAATGAAAGGGTAAAACACATTTCGTCGGTAGTATATTTCGGCAGTTTCTGCTGCAATATTATTGTGCAGGGTTTGCCTTCCAGTTATTCTTGGCACGACTATATCGCCTGAACTCATCTGCTGCGCTTGCTCAAAAAGGATTGCAAACTGACTTTCGTTCCGAACATTTAGTAAAGTCGTTTTTACCGTTTTTGTATATTCGCAAATGTTGGTCAAATCGACATTGACTTTCTGCATTGCTTTGTTAAGGTTTGCTGTATATGAAAAAACTTTTCTCAGTATAACTAAAGAAACAATAAACTGGCTGTTATCCATAGCGGTTTGAAGATGGTATGCTTGAGTAGCGACGTCGCTGCTTGCAGCATCTTGAAGTGCCCCAAGTGTTTCGCGTATAACGGGAACCATTTCTGCAAATCTTTCGACAGCCACGTGTTTCTCGGTCCATCTTGTCTCACAAAGAGAGATAAGCGTTGAATGAGATGAGTTAATTTGATCCGCAATTTTCTTCAAAAGTCCGTCGCGAAGCGGTGATTGGCGAAAAAAGTTTATTACGCTCTTAATGGTTCCGATACAGTTACGTATCATTGGTATCTCACATGAATGCGCTAAAACTAAGTTAAGAACATGAGCAACACAGTGTACGAATTGCGCCTTCGGGTATTGCTCTGAGATTATTGTTCTTACGCCCCGTAACCGGCCGCTCATCACTGCAGCGCCATCATAGCCTTGACCAATCCATTTATCCATATCCAAGTTATATGATAAAAGATGTGATATAATAGTCGTTGCCAAAGCTTGAGCTGAAACATCTTCTACGTGAATGAATTCTAAAAAATCTTCCCGTATAACCGATTTCCCAGATGAGCAGTGTACATATCGTAAACATAACGCTAATTGTTCTCGCCGTGAAATGTCTTGTGTTTCATCAGCAAGTATAGTAAAAAAACCAGCCTCTTTGACCCTATTAAGTACTTGCGTTTGAATAGCACTACCACATAGTTCAATCACCTCATTTTGAATTACTGATGACGTATACATGGCTCTACTGTGAATGTTTTGTGTTAGTAAATGATTCTTGAGTGCTTCATCGCCAGATCGCGCACGAAAACGAAGAAGTGCTCTAAAATTACCATCATTATGTTCAGGCTCATTTATCCCAATTTCTCCAGAATCATGACTTCCTCTTAGTGCTATTGCTTGCCTTCCGCAAAGAATAATTGTTTCAACAATGGCTTTTAATCTTTTTCTGTTCTCTTCGGCAATTTTATTGTTTTCTACATTTAAGCATTCTGTAACATCAAGCGTTTTTCCTTCCATGATCGTTGCAAAATTTGCTGCCTGCTCAACAGCAAATTTGTGATACTTCGTATCTGCATGGTGATCAAAGCTCTCTAAAGCTTTCTTCCAGTTAATAAATGGCTTACTAACAAAGGCTCCAAGTTCTTGATGACCACGACCACCTTGCGTTTTTCCAAGTAGAACACATACTTTGCAAAGTGCTCCCTGCATGAGGTTTGAATATACAAGCCATGAGTACCTGTTAGTCCAATGGCGTTGAAAAGAAAGTTTCTTTTTACCGGTGTCAGTGACTGGAAATTTAAATGTGTCCGGAGGAATCCAAGGCTCTTTTAATGCTCTCAGCTTTTCCTCGTCATTGCTTGGAGGATGACATACTATTTCCCAATATCATAACCCGTCCTGGCTGCGGCTGCGGACGGAGCCGAACACAAATCGATCCTGGCTGTAACAAAGAAATATTTGACAAAAACTAAAAAGTTATGTTGGGAATAAGAATTTTCAACTAAAAATTAAGTCTACGCGAACACAGTCGCGGGCGCCACTTAGTTGTTAAATATAATTCTATTTCTCTTAAAAGGCGAAATGATTTTATGACACTTAGGTACATTCCGCATATACACTGAAATTACCATTTTTGTCAAATATTTTATGCTCACGGCAACACAATTGTTTACAAAAATTCTCTGGGAATAAAAATAAGAGCAGGATAAAAGTTTTTAGAGCGTCTATTAAATTCAAATAACTGGATTTCTTCCTAATTAAATAAATAAGAGACTTACCTTTCTTCACTTCATCGTCATCAGTATCTGTGGATGGCCCCGCTCTATTTATTCCTACTTCTTCAATTGACAAAAGTTCATTGGGCTTTGGACTCTCTTTCTTACAAAAAAAACCCAAAAGAGATACCTGATTTGTTCGTTTCATAGCGACACTTCTTTCTATATTGTATTTATAACAACTGCGCAACGCGTCAACGCGAAGAGATAAAATAGACTAGACAGTTCTGTGGACTAGACTACTAGACTAGCTTGGTTTGGTGCGCGCCGCCGAAGCGCGGGCGACGGTGGCGGGGGAAGTGCCCATCCCCCCTCACCCCGCACTACGCGGGCATACGCATCGCGTTTTCCGATACTCGCCCTACGGACACGCTCCACAGCAACTATCGTTTATTACAATCGGCGCGGTGCATGTAATTTTTTTCTGTTGGACAAGTAAGGTGGATATGAATGGGGGGGGTCCAGACCCCCAAAACCCCCCCCTTATATACGTCCGTGATTATTACCAACGGCAGATAATGATATATCAATTTTCCTATTTTTAAATCTCCAGAACACAACACTTAAAAATACGAATTATACACACTCCTTAAAGTGTTTTGAAGGGTGCTCCATGTAAAATTTCTCTAAGAATTCTAGTTGCTACGCTCAAAACTCTTAATTGTTACTGTAACCTGTTTATCGCATGTCCTTTCGGTAAACATTACCGTGTATGTTTAGCTTTTGCTTAGAGTGATCCATCAGACGGCGGTAAACGACATGAAAGAAATAAACCGGCAATAAATTATACTCGATAAAAGAGTGACGCACTACCTAAAGACGGGTCGCAGGACGACTTGTTTTTGCTCCCCTGATTACTCATTGCCGACGGTCGGTTTAATAACTGGTCAGTCAGAATCCCAAACAGAGATTAAAGAGATGAATTTTTCTATGGTAGGTCAAATATATTTGGTATTCAATAGACAAGACAAAAATTGAAATGATTATGGAGTATATATATATATATATACAGGTATATATATATACCTATATTATATATCGAAGCAGTCGCGCAGGCACAAGCCTAAATGCCGAAACACCGCGGCTGCTATGATGGTCCCAAAGAAATTTTGTTAATACGATTTTTGAACTAAGGTTAGTAGAACTGGGAAAAGCTTCCTCTTGTAGATTGTTCCACAGTCTCAAAACTCTCGGGACAAAGGGGCGGTCGTATCGCCCAGTTCTGGATGAACGAAGCTCGACACGGTTAGGATGGGACGTCAAAGTTAGGCGGGTCTATCTGACGGGCACATCGCGCGGCTGCATCATGGAAGAGAGCTCCGAGGAGCAAAGTCCGTTGGTGTAGCGGCAGAAAAGAACTAGATCGCCGAAGACCCGCCGGTGCATAGTGTATAGTATAAAATAATAAAAACAAACAGTCAATTCCATGCAATTAAAACAACAATAATACCCTTTAAAATACAAACAAGTAATAAATCAATCTAGAATTCTCAAAAAAAAAACATTTTCTCTATAAATCCATAAACAAAAGTAACAAATAAACAAACACATTTTTATAAAAATCTAATACGGGCCACGTAGCAGTCTGAAAAAATGACATATTGTTATTCAAAATAGATTTCCAGTATACAGTGAAAATGTTTCAGTACTATACGAGTACACTGAAAAAAACCTCCGTCCTATTCCCCCAAGTTGGGAATATCATTTCAAAGCGAAGTCTCACTAACAAGTTTTTCAAAAAGCTTTGTGAAAACAGTTTAGCTACAGTTTGGTTGCAGTGACAAAAAGCACAACAGGAAAATGAACAAAAAATCAGGCCGAATTTTTTTCTTAGGATGCGATTGGAGGTAATAATAGCCAGCCTTCTAAATGCTAAATCCACTAAACGTAAGAGTCAAATAGAAAAATACGACTTTTTTTACTAGCCACTGTCAATCTCTTTGTGAGCCAAAAACACAAAATACAGCGTTTGTCTTTGAGGTGCCGCCCCGCCGACTGTATTAGCGTATATACCCGCTGGTTATTCCACTTCCACATTCATAAGAAAAAATTACATGAATTACTCTTAATGCCTATTGAAATTTAAAATATTATTTTTTTTCTCAAATCTCTGGTAGCATTTTATGACTAAAAACGGGATAATTTCATTAATTAATGCATCAAGTTGTAAATTTAATCAAGAAGGACTTAGGTATTTATTTCTTATTTGCTTCGTCGCCGACGCTGGTTGGATGCAAACCTAATGAGATTAGAAAAAACGGCGGAACTCTTTGAGCTTGGCCCACAGACCCCACGCCTATTCTGGTATGGGCACACCGGCGTATTCATGGGAGGGCTTTGGGGCTCCTCGGAGTCTCCCCTCCCGAAGCGCAACAGCTCATTACGCTTGTTCTACATATAGCATGTTATGCTATATCTTCTGTGAAGTGTAGCTACCTGGACTAAGCGAGTCCCCTCCTACTATGCAGTTTTCTATCTCCAAGACACCCCTCCCCTCCGAGACGGAATTTTCATGACCCTGGATCCTGACCCCACCCCCAGATCTTTTTCTGGATAACACCACTGGTTGAGCAGTATCTCAATCTACAAGAAACAATTACTATCTCTAGGCAGCAGCGGTGGCCGCAGTAGTAGACCCTTCGGTCTTCTGATCAGTCTTGGCTATGGATGTTGTGATTGTCTAGTAGGTGGTAGATGGTAGTCTCTGACTGTCGAACGCGGAGGTACTACCCGGCGGATCTCGTAGGCGGAGCCACAATGTGTGCATGTTGCATGCACACGTGTTCCCTCACCAGAGTCCGTGTGGCGTTCCCCCTTTCCCCTGTATCCCCCTATAGCCCCACGGTACCCAATGGGTGTTTAGGCCTTAGGCCTTCGTGTTAGTTGGAGTATAAAAAAAAATCAACCACAACAGTGGCTCCTACAAATCACTTTTATGAGCACATTTAACATTTCCGTCATCGGACTAAACTAGGAAGTCACAGATGAATAATATTAGCAAATCATAACTGATCGTAATGGTTTGTATTAGCATTGGGAGGATTACTGGAAAAGCAAAAATTCTACATACTTGGATTTCTGCATAATGTGGCTGAATCTACCTGTATGTTTACAAAGTGAGAAGCATGTAGACCAGAATGTAGTTTTGTATAGACACAGAGAATGGTTAAGCTAAATACATACTGGTAAAACACTTTTCAGGGCTAATGATATTAGTTGCAAGAAGAATAAATAGCCAGCGCTAATTTCGTAAAGTAAACGGTTTTCATATTTACATGTTAGATGTGAATGTTCAGTTTCCTAGTTAACTACGGCTTGTTTATTCAATACCAAACATCCAACCTACCATACCAGAATTAATCAAACAACCTGCTTCTCCCTGAATATTGAAATTTGAAAAATATTTTCCTTTTCAAAAGCTTGGAGATATATTAGAAATAAAGATGTAGTCTGCTTTGAAAATCATACCATATTTTGAATTTAATTAAGCCTGCACCTCATCACCGGCAAGAGCCCACCGCCACTGGAGACAACTCAACCAAGCCACGCCCCTCTATAGAATGCGGTTCCTTTTATCTATAATTTATTGCTCCGACATAACCCTCCAGTATCAGTAAGGCTTTTTATCCTGTCTTTCGCCCTAATACAACGTTGCAATTCAGTATTTTGAGAGGCCAGTAGATAAAATTTCCATTTGCCTTTCGTATAGGTAACTTTCGCTCCCTCTGGTAGGCTTAATATGCCCCGGCCACGAGATGTAATCGATCCCGGATATGAAGGATGCATTGTAGAATTGATTTTCGTGAAAAAAAAGTGGTGTTGATTTGAAAAAAAATTGAGAATTTCAATTTTCAAATTTCCATGTGCGTTTCATATAGGTAACTTTCGCTCCCTCTGGTAGGCTTAATATGCCCCGGCCACGAGATGTAATCGATCCCGGATATGAAGGATACATGGTAAAATTGATTTTCGTGAAAAAAAAGTGGTGTTGATTTGAAGAAACATTGAGTATTTTAATTTTCAAATTTCCATGTGCGTTTCGTATAGGTAACTTTCGCTCCCTCTGGTAGGCTTAATATGCCCCGGCCACGAGATGTAATCGATCCCGGATATGAAGGATGCATTGTAGAATTGATTTTCGTTAAAAAAAAGTGGTATTGATTTGAAAAAAAATTGAGAATTTTAATTTTCAAATTTCCATGTGCGTTTCATATAGGTAACTTTCGCTCCCTCTGGTAGGCTTAATATGCCCCGGCCACGAGATGTAATCGATCCCGGATATGAAGGATGCATTGTAGAATTGATTTTCGTGAAAAAAAAGTGGTGTTGATTTGAAAAAAAAATTGAGAATTTTAATTTTCAAATTTCCATGTGCGTTTCGTATAGGTAACTTTCGCTCCCTCTGGTAGGCTTAATATGCCCCGGCCACGAGAT